TCCTCCCTCCCTCCCTCCCTTCCTCCCTCCCTTCCTTCCTTCCTTCCTTCCTTTCTTCCTTCTTTCCTCCCTTCCTCCCTCCCTTCTTTCCTTCCTTCCTTCCTTTCTTTCTTTCTTTCTTCCTTCCTTCCCTCCTTCCTTCCTCCATCTCTCCGTCCCTCCCTCCCTTCCTTCCTTCTTTCCTTCCTTCCTTCCTTCCTCCCTTCTTTCCTCCCTCCATCCCTCTATCCCTGCCTCCCTCCCTTCTTTCTTTCCTCCCTTCCTCCCTCCCTCCCTCCGTCCCTCCCTTCCTCCCTCCCTTCCTTCCTTTCTTCATTTCTATTTTTCTTACTTGCCTGCTTGTGTGCTTGCTTGCTTATTCATTAATTTACTATTGACAGGGAGAGGACAGAAAGGTTTACTATCTGTCACGACTTGGGAAGGTTCCAACCTACTTGTGCCTTTTGTTTATCCTGGTGAGGTTTGCTGTCCTGCTCTACTTTGAAGTTCGAAAGAAATGGTTCCCTTTTGCAAGTGGGAGGAGAGTAAGTTGCAAGGTTTTTCAAAGCAAGATTTTTTTGCAGAGTGCAAAATCTGATAAAAACTAATAATATGCTGTACATGATAATTTTATATCCTGTTTTTATCCAGTTACAATTTAAGCAATATTCACTGTAAGCGATCATAGATTTGTAAACTTATGATGTTTATTGTCTATTTTAGAGTGGTGGTGGAACCTCTGATATTCGTTTGGCTAGAGAGCCAGAGATAGCCCACATCAAGGAGCTGTTAAATCCAGGATCAATCCTGTAAGAACAGTATAAAGACCACAAATAAACTGCTTTAACATAGAAAATAATACACAGACACAGATGCATGATAATTTTTCTGATTGTTAGACACTTAGAGCGGTTTTCAATTGAGTGTCTTTAAAACCAAAGCTAAAGTAATCACTCTAGCCAATCACAAAGGACACGGACAATCCAATGAACCAATCAAAACGGGAAGTAATTACATGTAGCAAGTGTAAAACGCAGGAAAACGAGTGCGAGTGAGTCACGTGGTTTTACTTCTGGTTGAATACGAGTTATTTTTTAAGCCAGTCGTGTGACGTAGTGATGCAAACCAATTACTATTCAGATTGTGGGATACGTGAAGTTTACTCCAACCACGAGGGGCAGAGTACTTGAATTAATGGGAATACCTAGAATGCTCACTCTCTCTCTGTATACGTCGCAGCGTTTTTCAAGTGCAAAACAATGCAATGAGCTAATGAAGAGAATGTTTCAAACCCTAAATTATTAATGACAATGAATCTAACATGGGTACTGATTGCTGCTCAAAGAAGCGAGGGAAAAGCGGGTGTACAATGCGATCGCGTGTGACTCGACGAGGCGTACCCTCGTCTCAAAAACCTGGAAATCATTGCCTGCGTCGCTAAAATTTGAGTTTTATATCACGCAATTCTAAGTGACAGCAGCAAACTTGAATTGTGTTTATCATTTTGTCTCAAGCACTGCCCCGGAGAAATTTGTTTTCACTCTGAAAACGCATCAAATGATTTCCGTCCACACAACGCCCAGCAAATTTGAAAACATAACAATCAGCGGTCATTGTGGTTTGTGTTTGAGGAAGACTTACCAGGGAAGTTGCATGGTAATCATGACGTCATCGTTTTTGTAAAAATCTTGTTACTGTAATGTGTACGTGGAAGTTAGTTGTGACAATGACAATTTAATCTGAGCAAACTTCATCAAGGAGTATTATTTTACCATTTTGCCAGGGATTTTTGGGAGATGAAATGGTATCCAAAGCTGCTGTACCCAATATACAAACCAAGAAAAGGTTGGTAACGTTAATTTTGTGCAGAGAACATGAGACGCATGACTTTTACATGTATTATTAAAAACTAAATCATTGGATTATGCAGTTCAAGAGTTTTCATTGGCTTAGCCATCATGGTTATGACCTAATTGACTATGGGCTATAGTAACAAATAAAACATAATTTCGTTCAAAAAGTGCATTTTTTTAAAATTTATAAGTCTTAATAGAGAGATTAAGCATGACGTTACGTCAAACGGCAAACGGCAAAAATGGAACTTTTGCCATCTGTCTTCAGCTGTCTATACAGTAGAGTGAAAATATTTGTATTCGCAGAGAATAGTAGAAGACATTTTTCTACGTTTGTGTGATTTATTTGAGGTAGGATTACAAGAGAAGAATGAAAAATCAGAGTTATCTTTGCCGTTTGTCGTCTGCCGTAAACGTCAAGCTTAAACTCTCTATAATCCCGATGTTTCGCCCAGAACTTCAATCTGCTTCAAGGGGAAGTGATAAGAACATTACAAAGAGCACATTGTATATTAAGAAGAATACAAATTTGAGCCGAATCATGCTTTGTACTTGAAAACTTGCTGCACGTGAATGCTGTTGTCGCGATTGAGAAGATTGTTTGCAAGCATTGGTCTCCCATGCTGCTGAAAGGCGTCAATTACACCATTTTAGACTTGTGCGTAAGATCTTGAATGATTCCTAGGAGCTGCATTGACTGAAGAGCAACAGGACAGTGCTCAACCAAAGCTGACGTTTGCAGTGCTCTGTTCATGTTCCGCTGCTTTCTGATGCACTTTCAGTCGAGAAACAAATATGCGTTTCGTTTCACTAATGGGTTGCACAAGCCATTTTTGCTTGGCACTAGTGTTTCAGCTTTCACTATGTTTCAGTTTTCAATTTCAGGAAATTATTATTTTACCACACTGTAAATTAAGTAATTATCAAACACGAAAGACCGTGTTTGGCAATATAAGTTATCTACAAATATCAAATCTATGACGCAAGGAAGCCAGGGGAAGCTAATAAATAAGGCCCATATGAGACAACACACGACACCTCAAAGGCTATGTAATGCGGGAAACGTTGTCCTCCAACTTGTTTCCCAAAACTTATGCATTCAGTTGAATAGCGTTGTTGTGCCATTGGTGTTGTTAAGTTGTGGCAACATTATGCCCGAAGTTGACCGAACTTTGTCTACAACATGTGCTACTAGAAAAGTTCGAAAAAGAGTTGTTACCTTTGGCGTTGACCTTAACGCTTGAAACACAGGCACTCCAGACTTTCTGCACGTACATTTATAGCTTTATAAATTCAGCGGTGTTTTGGTTAACCAGAGTATTTTGATTTGTTGGTGTTAGACTTCTTATTCTCGACCCAGCTCATCTCAACCATGTTGGTGTGTGCTATTACGGTCTTCCAGGTGAGTTGTATGGTGTGTGAAGGGGTTGTGTTTCCAGTATTATTTCTAAATGGTAAAATCAATCGTTAATAAATTGAAAGAAAGAACAAACAACAACAACAGCAGCTATATTTTCTCATTGTAAATATGAATAGTACTACTAGTATATCATTTTTAGGTTACTTAGTATAGGTAGCATGTCTTAAATGAGGTAACTGTTATAATCATGTTTGAAATGAGACTGGAGGATAAAATGAAGCGTTAGCTTTTCCGTGAAAGAGATTTTCGAATACTTTTTTGAGCTGTGTATGTGATCGAGCCCCGAGATTGGAGGGGTGGGGGTGGGGTGCTTCATTTTATAGGCTAAAAGGGATTCTGCGACACCAAAATATATGTTTTGACCTGGCTAAATATTCCAAAGTACATTTGAGGTTCACTATCAGTTTCAGGGCATGGTAGCTAGAATACGGTATTATTTTGGATTGTTTCATTTCAATCAGTAAATTACCTCATGTGTTGTCGTGGAACTTTCGTTTTGACAAAATATTCCTTGTTGTCTGCGAGCGAGGGAATTCCACTTTACTTTTCCTATCGTAACCTCTGTTTTATTCTCCTGTCAGCTTCTCGTGGCCTTCCTAGCCTCCTTTGATGTTCGGAGGAGGAATGATATNCTACAGCGCGCCCATTCATTGGCTAGTTCGTGGTCGCAGGACATCTAACAATGAAACTATTTCCCGCCAAATGCCATGAACGGGCAATGTTGCAAAAACCATGACTACAAACAGGAAACAGGTTACTGTTACCCGAGAAATGTTGACCGCTGCTGCACGTCATTTGTTAATAAAGTGATTACTTGTTTTCCACCAGTTTGACCCATTTATTTTGCTATGTAACAAATCACTTAATGGTTGGTCCCTTGGGGAACAGTGAAGTTTGTTTCCCTCGAATCTCAATGTTTCCATTGACTTCGTCTCGGGAAACATTGAGATTCTTGGGAAACAAAATTCACGGTACCCCTCGGAATGAGTCATTAAGTGTTAATTACATTGATGTTGGCAGCCACCGTTGTTGTAGTACTGAATAGGTGTGCTATACGAACCATTGGGCTCTGTCGAGGAAGTGACAATTATGAGGAAAAAAACATAACACTTTTACTTTTCTAGGAAGGCATGTACTCTCAACTTCGTTGCGAGAAAAATCACAGAGTAGAATGTTTAAATGAGCTATCCCACAAACTATTGTGGTAGAATGTTTAATTTCAATCATAATAGATTTACTTCATTTTAATTTAAGTTGTGTGACTGAATTTGCGGGAATAATATTAATAGACCTTAACCGTTCAGTTGTCACTCATAGTCAGCTCGTCCTTATGATTGATGTCTTACTAACTAAGCACGAGGGCCGAACTGGGGAGTATTGGCCCTGGCTCGTGGTCTGGTGCAGTGAGTTCCATACAAAAACGTCGAGGGCCAACATGATATATTCGCCAGTGCGGTTCGAGCAAGCTAGATTAGTAGGTTCTTTATTATATGTCACTCGGGCCTTGAATTTGCCAACTTTCGAAAACAAAAAGTACACTGCTTATGATCGTTTCCATGGAAACAATCCGAATGGCAAAATACCGACCAAGAATGATAATAATGTAATTCCTAATGTAATCTATTCCAGGGAACACGTTTTGCAGATGTATCGAGGCGAGACAGAGTTTTCAAAGGAAGTTTACGTTTCTCCAGCAGGCTTGGTGGTAAGTCTTTAGGAACAAAAGACAGCAAATGTCTGTTGGATAAATCCCAACAATCCCC